GGTAAAAAAAAAGTATAGTATTTGACTCAGCTGCAACATTGCCCTGTAATGTTGCTACAAAATAATGTAGCAACAAGTTATAAACAACTGTTTACAGATGTCTTCAAAGGAAACAAAGTATTACAAAAGAATTTTATTGATAGTAAAACAGAAAAATAAATTTTATTATACACGATGATAATTTAGAAAAATAGTGTGCATAAATGGGTTTTCAGCCTTAATGGTTGAATGACAAAAATGCATTAAAGTTTATGATCATATGAATGCTTGTATGGGATGAGGAAATATTTTCTGTCTGAATTTCTAGGATGAGAATATGTTATTTTGTTATTCTGGGTAACCTTCAGGAATTTTCAAACTGAACACTTTATTTAATTTCTTTTTGTTCTTTTTAGTACCGCTCAGCTATTGCTCACCATATTTCCACTATCCAGGTCAGAGATTACAATTATTATGCTACCAAATTCCTGAACAAATGCTTTCATCCACTAGCCTATTGTCTTGTGAGATAATTCTTAAAATTATAGCTTTCTTCATTTAGAAAATTTGTATTTCTTATATTTGATGATAAAAGTTATTTTATCACTTTTTATAAATCTTTATAAGTTGCTTTTTTTTAACATAAAAGAAATTTGATTGTAGCCTTTCTTTTCAACTATATTATTAGTACTAACCTTTCCCACTGTTTAAGTTAAACCTTTAGTAAGAATAAACAGCAGTACTGAATGACATAGGAGGATGGTGGAGTAATGGATAGCAGCTCGGATTGAGGAATTGGAGAGCCGAGTTCGATTTTCCAAGTGAATCCATTACATTCACTTACGTGCTAATACCTTTGGGAAAGGTATAAATCCTCTTCTTTTCCCTCCAGTTATGGGTAAATAGCAGGAAAGACCGGGGTCTATAGCCTTGGATAGCAACTGGTCTACTACAGAAAGAAATGACAACCTACTGCAGGAAAAAAAATCTGCTTTGTCAGTCATGTATTGAAAGATACATGATCGGCTAAACATGGCACATAACTGACTGAATGACATAATACTGTAGAGATGAGTGTGTATGTAACATAAATTAAATCAATTTGTAATTTGATCTAGGAGTAAACTCATCTTATGCCAATTGGGGGTGAGTAAATGTGAGTTAAGATTAATTAAGCATATTAAAACTGTTTTCATCCTATGTAGGAAAAGTATTCAGCAACAAAATGGATTAACAAGAAAATTTGCATGTGGACAATCAATAGAAGAAATGACATTTAAGGTTTAGTGAGTCTTAGTTGGATGAAAAGAAATTCTCCATTCTTATTGATGAGAATAAATCTTAGCCAGAAAATAGCAAATTAAATTTCAAGGTTTTAAAACAAATGAAAAGTAATGTAATTTTTTTCTTTCTAAATGACAGTAAATAATAATATTCAACACTATAGGAGACATGGTATATTAGGAGACACAGCAGAGTAATAGGAGACATGGTATATTAGGAGACACAGCAGAGTAATAGGATTTTGCAGCTTGAATTGAGGAATCAGAGAGAGCCAAGTGCAAATTCCAGTCAAGTTCATTACATTCACTTACATGCTAATACCCTTAGGAAAGAGTATGGATCCAAATCTTCTTCCCCCAACTATGGATAAATAGTAGAACAGACTAGGTTCTATAACCTTGTGTAGCAAGAACTTTGAATTCAAGACTGTATATAGTCCTGGCAAAGCCAATACGCATAGCTAAGGAAAAGATCATTCACAGTGACACAACAATCCTGACTATGGTCAACTCTAACACTATTAATTTGACTTTTACATAAAACTTAACTCATTTAATACAAAAAATGTATTTGTCATCATTCATTAAAGAAAAAAAATTACCTTTTTGTTTCCAGTTTGCTCAATATGTAATCCCTTTTGGGATAATAGTAAGATTTTGAGAAGTAACCTAAAAATATATAGAATATACTCCAAAATATTTCAAATTTAACTTTTACTTAAGTTATGTCCCTTACGCAGCGGGTTCAAAACATTTTCCATGTTAGCGACTACAATTCTTCGTTGAATATTTGTGAATTTGGCTTCCGCAGTGACTAAAATGTCTCCCTTAATTGCTTCCCTTGAAATGAAATCATTTTTGCTCAAACAGCGACTTCAGATCCAAATTGAAAAATTGCAGGTGGAACGAAATGAAATTGATTCGAAAAACGAAAAAAAAAAAAAATGTAATTAAAAATCCTACTTACAATTTAGCTTAATATTTTTTTTGAATGTAGAACACGTAAAACTCGTATAGACGAAAACATGTTTTTCATTACAAAAAAAAAAAAAAAAAATGCTACATTTTGCCTACCAAACGACAAAAAGTTGCCTTAATTAAAGAATAAATAAATAAAACACATTCTTCTTTGTAAGTCAGAAAAGTCCAATACGGAGTCACAAATTGTGTTTCAGTAAGTTTTTGCATCAGCGTGTAGTCCTTGTCCCCCAAGGTGAAATGTTTAAGCTTCTGCTTAGTGAATAAAAATGAACTTCATTTTAAAACAAAAAGTTTAAACAAAGTACGAAATTTCTTACAAATAATCTATGCTGTTTTTTATTCTTAGTAGTGCTACTTCAATGGTCCTTCAAACGAAAAAGAAAACATTAATGCCCTGTTACTTTCCCTACAATAAACAAAATGTTTAGATTGTCCTGGCACTCGGACATATTTTCATGTCACCCCTGAGCAAGGTAGTTATATATGACATGAATATCACTATTTTTCTTGCCATTTACTTAAATTTTTCTTTTTGGTATTATACATTTATAGCCTTTCTTAGATTATAAAACTATTTTATTGTTTTAAGCAATACATTTGAATTTGCAAAATCTTTCATACTTTGCACTAGTGGAGCAGTTTGTTAGTTTAAGCTAAATGCCTTCCAATGTAATATCTAGTTAAATTTTTATGTTTTAATAAAATGTAAATGTTTATACAACTCAAATGTTTATAAGAAAACTTAAAAAAATTGATATGCAGTTGCACAAATTTATTTATAAACAAGTATATTTATATAGTAAAATTTCATTTAAAAGTTTTGGGTTTTAAAATGCTGAAAGATACACTAATATACCAATTTTAAAAATGCTAATCTCAATGTAGTTACAATATGACTAAAACTGTACAACAAATGAAGTAGTTTAGTAAAATATATACAAAAAGATATAAAGATAAATATTTTAATTCTCATTAAAACAAACATTTTAACTAACATTACAGTTGGGTATGTTTAGTAAGTTCTGTACAATTCTTAAAAGTATTCAAATATTCTCATAAGTTGTAAACTTTGTAGTAAAATAAAAGAAGTTTCAGTTTTGTTTATACTGTACATAAAAGTTGATGTCTTATTTTAAGAAAGATAAAAATTCAAATTGCTATTTTTTAAAAATAAATACAATTTTGAGAATTCTTCAATCATTTTCTATGAAATTGCATAAACAATTGACAAATTTTTATACTTTTATTTTTTGTAATGTCATAATAGGAAAAATAATTATCTTTCCATTTCTCTAAATTTTCAAAGCAAATACATCAAGAAATACATAAACATTCCTAAATCAATTCTTGCAAATCCATGAATGTTCTAATTTTACTGGATTTAATAAATTGTTTTAGGTACAATATGAATTATTTAATTTTTTTTAAATAAACAGATTATATTCAAGCAATTATTATAAAATAAAAGACAAAAACATTAATAATTTAAACTTTGGTTTAACAGAAAAAAATATTTATTCAATCATAATTTTATTGAAACAAACTGGAGTTACAGGGAGCAACATTTTAATGGAAAAATTGAATTATTTAGGTTTTCTTTTATTAAATTTCACTTCAAATGAAAAGGAAAATGTTAAATGCTTTATAAAAGAATGTTAATAAATATTAGTATGTAAAATTTATGTCAAAAAGATATTTAGATCTTAACAGATGAAGTTTTGTAGTAACTAATCAAAATTTTCATAATTTCAAATGGTTTTCCATATTCAATAAAAAACAAAAAGTTTGTAAAAAATAATTGTGATTTTCATTTCCTGGCTGAAACTAAATTGTTGAATACTATTTTGAAATTCAATGAAAATATCCATTGATCCTAAACTAAAGGAATTTCTACAATGTATATACTATCTAAAACAAAATGATGCAACCACATTTTACTTTCATTTTAAAACTGAAATAATTTGATAAGTTTGAAAAAGAATACATTATAATACTGAATAAAAATAGTCAATTGCAGAACGTAGAATCATCACAAGACATTACTGCTAATGATTATTGTAAAGACTACAGTTATCTCTGGGAGAAGAAATTTAACAATGAAAATTTTGGTCATTTGAGTGTTTATGGACTTTTCAAAAATAAGAAATTGACATAAAGATTGATATTTAGAGATGATACAAATTTTGAATAAAGAAACAGTGTAGCAAAAATAAAAGAAAAGAAAAAAAGAAAAAATTATTCTGATGATACCCTGAAGTCATCTCTTTTTCAGCAACACCATTCAAAATAGTAAAAATCAGGAATTAAAAAAATTAGCAAAAAGATCTTCAGGTTAAAAAATTTAGAAAAACATGAATATTCCTGGTTCAATACAATGCTTCCTGAATGACTTACAATTCATCGATTGATTGTCCACTCCTTGGATTTTAAAATGTTTTTCAATAGTAAAAATAAAGACTGCTTTTTAGCTTAAGAAAATCTCTTCGTTTTAATGGTGCTATAAAATTTATTTACATATTTGAAGTTGTTCATTTATATTTTACACAATTCAATCAATACTTTGTGAAACTGTACATATTGGAGGTGAATGACCTTCAGGGGCATCACGTGACTTGAGTCGCCAGATCTGTTGTCGTACTACATGATAAAGATTCCATCGCTGACTGCAATCCTTAAGGGGATGATGAACGTCAAGAGAACTGTCATTATCATCCTCAGGGTTTAATTCAGTTGACTGATCAATATCTTTACCCTCACTCATATCTGGAGGTGCTCCATCACCTGAAGGGCGATGTTGCATCTCAGTAAGAACAATTGAAATTTCATCAAACATTTCCACTGGGTTATGCTTCTTTCTGCAATGAGAAAATATTCAACTATAGCACAAATCATGTAAGAAAAACATTCTTCAGAAAACTACTGCAATATTTTTATGTAGTATCTGATAAAATCAATAGGGAAAATTACTTAGTTTTAATTTTTAGCATGGCATCTTGTAGCAACAGCAGATTGGCAGGAATTTTAGCCAGTATAAATTCTTTTAAAAGTTACAAGTCAACTTAGACAAAACTGCAATTCAATCATCAGTAATTAAATTTTTTTTTGATTTTCTGTATTATTCCTTTTGTAGTGAATTGCCACTACATTCATAACATAGAACAGGTGATATAACTGAAGCAGCAGTTGGATGCAAAAACCTCAGACAAAGACATTAAAACAGATCAAAGCACATTTTCTGGTAAGAAAAAAAGTTAAAATTTCAAATAAATAATTAATTTCTAATCAATTAAGACTTTCCCACTTCTTTTTGTTAATCAGCCTGTGTAATCCAATTTGGACAATAAAACAATTTTTTTTTTATTCTAACTGCTAGTCATCATAAAAGTCTCTTCCATTACTGTATTTATTATTTGCCCAGTCATTTATTTATTCTGCTCAGTGAATGCAACAAAAATTGTACTAAGAGTAAATATACACAGAAAACATTCTATTTTTATATGCAACATGTATGATTTTTATCATACATGGTGGGAAAGAACACATATTATAACATGCTTTTTTATTTACAGAAAGTGAAGCCCATGGAAAGGCATTAAAATTGTACCATTATCTAAATATCTCATACACAACTAAAGAGAAAAGTAAACCTTCTGGTTCAAAAATAGAAGACCATTAATCTATATAATAATTCATTGTACATCAACAGAAAGACTTATATTTTATTTGGAGGGAATTTAAATTTTGACAATATCAAATTCTTACCACATGAACTTTTACAAAATTATGACAACAATTTTCACAAAAAACAAATCATTTAAACAAATTAAATGACCTTACACTTTGTCCTTTACCTTTGTAATTGAAAAAGAAAATACTATAAAGACACTACAAGAAAACAAGCTTAACACATTATGATACAACAAAATCATCTTTTAGTGTTTCAATGTCAATATAAGTTTATATGAAAGTATAATGGCACCCCAAGAATATATTTTAATGTTATTGCATTAAATGTGTGAAAAGTAGAAGCAAGGAACTAAAGAAGGTTTTAGTTATTTGCAGCTCCCTTGCTTTCACTGATGCAAATTTGTCAATCACAACCACTCAACATCAAGATCAAAAAAACTGTTGCTGGTAACATCTGACAGCAAAAATCTGTTGATGTCAAATGTTACCAGATGATGCCTAAATAATGAATACCACACTACAAATTAGTGTCATCATAGTGTCCCATCTCCCAAGTGGCACTCATGGTACATGCCCTACCCTAAATACACTACTGTCTCTTAGTATGTGTAAGTAGAAGTGAAGTAATTATTTAAGTATAATACATTCTGTTTATTCAAGATAAAAAAAAGTAGAAAATCTATACTAAAATTGAATGTGGTAGGTTTATATTTTACTTTCCAGAACAATGCAATATCAAATTAAAAAAAACAAACAAATACTAAGCCACATTTATCTTTGTAATAAAATTGGTGTATTACAGTTGCTTAGAATTTTTAGAAGGTTTCTGTTTTGCAATAAACAATTCTTATAATTAGTAAGAAAACATCTTTTGTTCTTGTTCAGACATATGTTCATAGACAAAATGTGCCATGATTTAAAAAAAAAACAACAAAAAAAACAGAGAATCAATTCATGAAATATAATAGAAATTTTAAATGTTTTGTCTCTTCAAAATGAACATATTTTAATACTCATCATAATTCTAAAATTAACTGATTATTTTTACTGTAATCTAAAATGTTTTTAAAAAGGAAATGAAAGATACAAAATCTTTTGGTTTTTAGTCATTGAATGTTTTTACCAATGCATTTGGAATAAAAAGTAATTTAAAGCATGCATGTTTTTCTTAAAACAAACATATTTTGTATATTTTAGAAAAATTATAAGAAAAAAATGTACCTTTTTTTTGAACAGCACTGAATAACAATGACAGTCAGACATACTGTTAGAGCAATTCCAGTCACAGTTAAGCAAATGGCAAATATCACTTTCTCTGTAAATATTAATTAGAATAAAAACAAGCTTAGACAAAAAATAGCTAATAATTTAAAATATGTAACACTATTCCTTGTTATTACTAGATAAAATTTAGATGTAAAATTGAAATACACGAAAATATGGAGTTGGTTTAATGTTTACAGTAAAATGAAGAAAGTATGATAAAACTGAATTAAATTTAGAAACAATTCCCTTTTGAAAAGAAAATTGTTATTGAAGTTTCACTGTTGCACAATGAAACAATAATGAAATAACTTGTATTTAAAGAAATAACGATACATTCTGATCTATAGTCTTATAGCAATTCTAACTGCACATTAGGAATATTCAAATTCTTGTAAAACCAGATTCAACTATTCTGTATAAAACCCAAGAAATTTTGAAATAAACCATCTACATTATCCTTTTGACACTGAAAATTCATATTTCCAATTCTATATTTTATATAAGACTTAAATTTATCAGCTATAAATCTCCAAACTACTACAAAGTGGCCTGTTGTACATACCAGAATTATCTATTTTATATGAATCTGTTGGCCTCTTCCAAAATGTACTAGGTAAAATACTTGGTAGAATTTCAAGGTTTTTTCTGGATATTTTTCGTGTGGTTGTAATTAATTGTGTCCTCTGGTAATTTTGCAAAATCCTTAGTGGACTAACTGTAAAAATAATAGTAATTATTAATTTCAGCAAGTTTTTAAAGAAATACATTAAGAAAATGCATATAAAGTTCAAAAGTATATGTGCCCCTTTGGAAAGATTTGAAATGGCATCTCTCCAGGCAGAGGGAAACTGTCATTATATATGGCATGCCTAAACTGACTCAGGCACAAAGAAACTTTACCAATCAACCAAAATCTGAACAGTGCCTTTGAGCAAAATCCTTGTCATACATTCCTCAGAATATCTGTTCAGTTTCATATACAAACATTAACAAAGTAATCTATGATATAACAAGATTTCTTGAAAATATACTGCTTAATAAATAAATGAAGTGTCCATTAAAAATAACCTTTAAGGTAATAAAAATGTCAGATTAATAAACAAAAACTCCATTACTTCTTTAGAAAATTACTTTAAGTTTTGATATGAAACTGAGCAGATATGATAATTGAGGAATTTATGATGAGAAGAATTTTGCTTAAAGGCATTATTCAGATCTTGCTTGAGCAGCAAAGTTCCTTTGTGGCTGAGTCATTCTTAAATCATGTCAGATCTAATGACAGTTTCCCTATGCTCAGGAGGACAGTTTCAAATCCTACCAAAGAGCACATATTTTTTTAATAAGATTTTTCAAATATTCACACCAGTATGTCTACTGGTGTGAATATTTGAAAAATAAATATACTGTTTAATACTGCATTATGAAATAAAATGTTAAAGAGAAAGATGAATCCATCTCATTGTAAGCATGCATCATTAAAAAAAATATTACTTCTCAAAAATACAATTTCCTACAAACTTCTGAAACTGAAGTCAAAAATTTATATAGAGATATCTGCAAGAGTATTTGTAATTAAGTTTCAAAATTCAACAATAAAATTGACCTACCTTCATTGCAACTGTACATAATTCTGAAATAGTTGATTTCTCCACATTTAAAAGAATATATATGATTGACACTTAATTTGCAAATCTTCTGTTTATTACATTTCTCTGCCTCAAACATTGTCTCTGTGCAATCACCTGGAGCTACAGCACTAAGGCAAGCACTCCACCTGTTATGGCCATATTTAGCATCAATCACATTGACAACTTGACTTGCCTTGCAGTTTAATGTAATATTTATTGGTTTATCTGTGTTTTTCTTAAAGCAACGGAAAATTTCTTCTGAAAATAGAAATAAAAATAATTCAATGTAATATTGAACGATGTTTTAGTAATTTGTTTTCGGTCCTGATAAATTCATAATAGATAGAAATTTTACTTGTTAGTCCATCAAATATTTCACAATAATATTTTTTATTCCTGTGTTATTGTTAATAATCAGGTAGCAATAATTGTATAAGATAAAGAGAAATTTCAAGAGAAGAGGTTTTCTTCTTTAGCATTAAAAATGTTAAGAGATTTAGCATTAAAACATTAAGAGATCTCTTTTATACACAAACATTTTTACACAAAAACTTTTCAGAAGTTTTTTTAATTTTTTTTAATTTTTAATTTTTTTTAATTTTAATTTTTTTCAAATGACAATGCTTCTGTGACAGCATATTGTTCTAACATAGATCAGTATTGTGGTGCTTATATGTTTGCTTTTTTTCTCACATTTTTAAATAATTCCTTATGTCTGGTTCTGCATCTGATTGTTTTTTTTTGGCTTTTGTGTAAAATGACTTTTAAAAACTGGGCCTTCAAACAAAAAGCCAAAAAAAAATATTTAGATGCAGAACCAGACATAAGGAATTATTTAAAAATGTGAGAAAAAAAGCAAACATATAAGCACCACAATACTAATGTTTGAAATTAAACAGGTAACTTAGATAAGCAAAGAGTAGCTTCCACAGTTTCAGATCAAGTTGTCACAAGCTTCAGTTGTAATATTGGTAACACATACTTACAATAATTATATTTATCATAATTAAGTTCTTTTAATATGTAAGCTTTAATACAACATATTTAAAAGTTAGCAATAAAATTACCTGATTTCTCTGAAAAAGATGCAAGGACAAAGAAACACATTGTAGAATATAAATGTTCTCATCATATACAATATAACATCTTCACTACACATATAAGTGCACATGTTGCCTTAGCTGAGTCTAATATGGAGTTAATTTCTGACAAGCATACTTAAAGAAAAAAAATGGTGTACCGATAGATGTCCCATATTTTCTGTTTTTTCATTTGCCATGTAACAGGTGCTTGTCTTCCAATATTACTCAATGAAATTGACTTTCAGTAAAAGCATCATGTAAATTTACTAGGATCATTTTTCACTGGCATAACTCATGAAGCAAATTCAAGATTAACACTTTAGTCCAACTATTCAGGATTGAAAGAAGTAGACAATTTTACTAATCTGAAAAACAATTATCAATCTAAAAAAGAGCATATAATATACATGTCACTTGATGCATATCAAGTTGCATTAGAAACTTCAGATTTCCTTCATAGAAATCCAAAATTCCATGATAATTCTGATTTCCCTGTTTTTCAGGTTGGCTATGAATCCTGGTTAATAAATTACACAAGAAAGATAATCATCCTCAAGAACTGTATCTCGCTTATTGATCCCTAAACAATTCCCATGAATAATTGTTTTGAATTTCATTACTGATACTATTTCCCTATGTGTCATGTTATCATGGGTCTCCATAGCATTGTCTTTTGCTGCTTGATAATTCTTTTCTTTCAAATTCTCTTAATCTTTGTCATACTTGTTCTGATATCCATTTCCCCAAATGTTGCAAGGAGGTTACTTGCTGGTTTTCTCTGCTTCAATATGCCCTGTGATTTTTTTATTGATTGATTTGTTATTTTTAAGGCTTATCAACCTTTTGCTGGTTATTTAAAGTTAGAAAATATTCTTGATTTTAAGAATTTGGGGGAGATATTGATTTACTGATACAAGTCCTGATAATTAACCCATAGCTGGGGATAAGATGTGGATAAGACTTTCCAAGGGTATTTGTGCATAAGTGAATATAACAAACCCAACTGGAATTGGACTACAGCTCTCTGATTTCAAAGTCATTATCCATTATATCATTCATATAACCAAGCTTACAGCACCTGGTATTCTCAAGTAGTTACCCATCTAGGTATTGACTAGGCTTAACATTGCTTAACTTTGGTGATCATACAAGAACCAATGTTTCAATGTGATATGGCTGTAGGCCAATATACCCAGTGAATGTTAAATTCTCTAAGCCTTCATTCTTTTGATGTGTCCCTAAAATTTGAAAGAGCTAGGCTATCAAAGAAAGAAGTCCTTGATTTCAGAGGTTAACAGGAACAGGCGTATGGACTGGCCGAGATAATTCAAGAGCAAAGATTATGAATTTTCAGCAATCTGTAATTTGGTCATATGAAAGTAAATTCTGCCAATATTCAAATTCAAGACAGGTTTATGTTTGGAGAAATCAGAATGACACTTGGAACACTGAATGTCTGCAGGCGACCATGAAACATGGAGGGATTGGAGTAATGGTGTGGGGCACTGTCTAGTTTAGAGGGAAATCTGAGCTGATTCTAGTTGACGAGCAGTTGAATGGTCCAAAATACTGTTAAATATTAGAGAAAGATCTACTCCCACTGTTTGAAACCAATCAGCTTGACAAGAATGTCTACCTTTTTCAAGAAGATGGCATGCCATGTCATACAAGCAAAGTAGCAAGGGCCTGGAAGGAATCACAGGGCATCAAGTCATTTCTATGGGTAGCCCAAAATCCTGACATGAGCATGTTTGGGAGCACCTTGACCGAAAAGTTCAAGAGTGTGCAACCAAAATCATGTCAGTGGCAACCCTTAAAGAAATATTGCTAAAGGAGTGGCAAAATATGGCTCAGATGATTGTTGATAACCTGATCAAATCCATGAAAAATTGAATCCAAGCACTGAAACTAGCAAATGGAGGACCTACTCCATACTAGTTCCAAATACTGTTTATTTATGTTGAGTTGGGATTACATAATTTTGAAATTGATGTAGTTTATTTCTCAAAAAAAAAAATTTTTTTTTCTTAGGCCACTATGCTTTGGACTATCTTACAGTTAATGTTTTTTTATGCTTTCATCAACTGCCTTGTCACATTGTTTTTCTTCTGAATCAGTGTCGGGTAGCATATTTTGTTATGGTGAGGTTTGCTGATAACACTGGTCAACAGTAAATTTTTATCAGTAATGTCCTGCTGTATTATATGTAACTTTATCTGCTGATTTCAAAAGTGTAATCAGATTTCTTCCATCAGTCACAGTTTCTTTGATGTGATGAAGTGAGCATAAAACTCCAATCAGCCACAATGCTACTTAAAAAGTCTTATAGATTACCAATTTGTATTTTATTACTAATTATATGTGTATTACATAATTTTATGAATTACTAAAAATATTCATGGTTTAGTTAAGCATTGTTCCACAAAATATTCCATTAGCCATATATGGTATCTCCATAAATTCTACTTTTTCTGTTTGATACTTGTCACCCATCCAATTTGGTGTCCAATCATCATCAAACCCTATTCAAGATGCTGAGTCATTGCAAAAACAGTCCCGATATATTTTGTTACGTCTGTGGTTCATTTATCACCAAAGCTCAGCAATGTGCCATCACAAGTGAAATCAAGATCTACCAGTTGTTCTTTGGATGCCCTCTCAGGGATCAAAATAAGAGTTGGACACCACATTTCACTTAGCCCACTGGATCACCAGCGTGTTCCAGTGGGCTAAGGGATTGACTTAATAAAAGGAAGAGAGCAATCCCAACTTAGAATTGGCAAGAAGACCAGTACCACACAACAATAAATACCTTTCTGTTCCAGTATCACCGAAGAATGGCCTTCAAATGTATGACAAAGCGGTACTTTGTGAGGAAACTACTGGTCACGTGGAAACAACCAAAGTAGATGCAGATTTTTGTTCTTGAAAATGAAGATGAACCACAGAAATTTTCCCCGAGGCAAATTAAACAATTTGGTTAGATATTTGGCATTGTCAAAGAAAAGTGTCTGCTTAAGGATGATGTTTGTATTACTCATTTCAGAAAGAGAAATATGGATCTGACTTCTTTTTCTGTAGACAGAACACTTTGTTTCTGTAATAACTGATGAGTTATTTCAGTTTCGTCTGAATGGTACATATTCATTAATTCATCTGAGAGAAGTCTCAAGGCAGTACTAGTACACAACAGCAATAAGAAACCATCCATTCCCATAGAATATTCAGTGCACAAAGAGTTATAAGAATATGCAGGTACTCCTGGATGTCATAAAATACTTAGAATACAATGGGAATATATGTGGTGATTGAAATATTGATGGCAGTGCAATCAGGATTCATTAAATATTGTTGCTTTTTATGCCTTTGGGACAATCATGCAACTACATGCAAACTCAGTGGCCCCAGCAAGAATCATATTAGCTGGGAGTCCAGAGTAAGTCATTAGTAAAGCAAGATAATGTTCTTCCCCCTCTTCACATAAAGCTTAGGTTCATGAAACAATGTGAAAATTCTAGCTCAGAAGGCTTTAATGTGAAAGCCAAATTTAAAAAAAAAAATCACTGAGGCAAAACTGAAGTAAAGTGTATTAGTAGGTTCGTAGGTAAAGGAACTCCTCAAGGACAACAACTTTATCAAAACCCTGGATAAGACTGAACTTTAAGTGGATCTGTGAAAATTTTCTGGATAACAAGAGAAAGATTTTAGAAATGGAGTAAAATGTCTTCTAAAGTCTTTTGCAGCAATGGGCTATTAGATGTCACTGAAAATCCATTTCCTTGATTCACATCTGAAATTTTTTGCAGAGAACTATGAAGCACTGTCAGATGAGCAGGGGGGTATGCTTTCATCACGACATAGCATCAATGGAGCAATGATATCAAGGATTTGGAATGAAGGAATGCTAGCTGACTACTATTGGATGTTATACAGAGATGAACCTGAGAATAAGCACCAGAGAAATTCTAAATCCCAAAGATTTTAAGTTGTAATTCAATAGAAAGTATTATCGCTTTATTTTGTACACAATAACTTTGATTTTGTACAATAAATGGCAACAAAAATGTCATATGTTATATTTATTATACCTTATAAGCAGGGCCAGTATGTACTACGCATGAACCCCACAACCTGGTGAGGGAACTTGATTGGGGGCCTGGGTAGTGCTTTGTTACA